CCATTTTCTTCTTATTCTCGAGAGGATGATAATCGTCTGCATCGTAGAATTTCCATCCCAACTAAGAAAAAAATAAATTAATTATGGATGGTTCAGCTAGATCAGGTAGGTAACAATGACTTCAGAATTTACAAAAGCGACACCTAAGAAATTACAGGCTTCTTGCACCACAGTATGAATCACCGTTCATAGCAAATTAATGATTAGCAAATAAAACCATAACACTATGGCAGCTTGGAAACAGCCACAGCTGCTGCATCACGGCACTGAGCCGAAGTGGGTGCAGACGACCCTGCGCCGGCCGAACGCGGCTCGGGGGACCAGCAGCGCAGGCGAAGGCCGTGGGCCCGGCGCTGGGAGGGGCCTGCCCGCCCCGGCACGCCTCCGAGGCGGCGGCTCCCACACGCTCCTACCTTCTCTGCCAGCCGCGACCCGACCGTCGTCCTGCGGGGAAGCACAAAGGGCCGGTTACGCACCGCACCTGCACCCAGACCCAGACCCGGACCCAGACCCGGACCCGGACCCGGACCCGGATCCGGACCCGGACCCGGACCCGGACCCGGATCCGGATCCGCACCGCCGGCACCGCCGCTGCTCCGCCCCCGCCCGGTACCTACTTCCCCGAGCCGCTGACGCCCATCACCACCACCAGCACCATGGCGGCCCGGTGCGCTCTGTCGCTGCCCCTTTGCCCTCCTGCTCCGCCGGCCCGGCCCGGCCCGGCCCGGCCCGGCCCGCCCTCTGCCCCAGCCCGCCCTCGGCCTCCGCCCAGAGCGCCTCCTCCTGCCCCGCGTGGCCGCCCGCTCCCTTTCTGTGGGAGCCCGGGACATCCGTGTCGTGTCCCCCGCTCTCATTCCCGCAGTCGCTCATTGTGAAGTTACCTGATCTTCTCCCGAGCCTTCTTTGTCTCAGGCTTTTCAGTCTGGCCTAGCGTTTCTCTTCCAGCGGTTCCTAGCACCGTTTGAAGCCTCAGTAACACACGCCAGTTTAGTAGAAACAATAACTTCTGCAGTGCATGTTGAAGTGGGCATTGATGCCCCCTGAATTCTGTTACCCTTTAGTGATAAAGGTCTACCTTTAAAATGTAATTAAGGCGTCAGCCATGCCGTGACTAACTCCATTTTATTATTTCTTAAAGCATTGGTCCAGTCATACTTTTAAATCACTGAATTACTTGGTGGGTAAGGCTGGAAGGGACCACTGATGGGGTCATCTAGTCCAACACTCCAGCACAAGCAGGACCCTGTAGAGCACATTAGGATTCTGTCCGGGCAGCTTTTGATTATCTCCAATGAGGAAGGCTCCACAACCTCTCTGGGGACTCCACAACCTCTTTGGGCAGCCTGTTCAGTGTGCGGTCGCCTCCTCAGTAACAAAGTGCTTCCTGATGTTCGAGTGGAACCTCCTGTGTCTCAGTTTGTGCCCATTCCCTCTTGTCCTATTGCTCAGCACCTCTGAGCATCATCTTGATACCCTCCCTCAGATAGTGATAAACATGGATGAGGTCCCCTCTCAGTTGTCTTTTTTCGAGGCTGAACAGGCCCAGCTCCCTCAGCTTTTCTTTGTAAGAATGATCTAGTCCCTCAATCACCTTCGTAGCCCTTTGCTGATCATTCCCTTGCTCTGTGAAGCCTAGACCTGGACATGGCACTCTACATGCAGCCTCACCAGGGCTGAGAAGAAGGCCAAGATTGTGGAAAACTGTGGAAATTCTCTTAGATAGCAAGTATTCTTGCTATTATCATGTACATATATCTGACCTAGCAACATTTTTAAAGCTCTGCAAGGATCAAATGCAGTGATGCTGCTAACCAGTGTTGAAGTTTTCCTGCCTGGTGGAGAAGTATCTGTGCCTGTAGGAGCTGCTCAACCCGGTGATGGTGGCTTAAGGAGGACATGATGTATCACCCCTTCATATTTTTTGCATCAGTCAAACCTTGGAATAAATTCTCAGAACGTACATTAAGTCTCCCAGTCTGCATGAAATTTTAGTTCCTGTGCACAGCACTTCAAATAACATTATGTATGATATTTGTATCTTTTTATTTAAATTGTTACCTGTCTCTGACCATTTAATTGAGATCTGGAACTGTCTGTATTTCACATACCTATTAAGAAATTCTTAACAAAGACCAGAACCTTCAAAGTTATTAAGCTATTACTGAAACAGACCAGTTCTCAAATTACTAACAGACTACAGCGATCTCTTTAAGGTGCCATGTGACTGGATACCTATTTTGCTGTTGTAGCTGTATGATTGTGCTAAAGTAATTGAATTTGCATGAGTCTTTTCCATTTGTTGGCTTATTAATTGTGAGACAGGAAAAAAATGCTTCATTTGGGTGAGAGTTCCTGGGAGATCCAAGTGAACAAGCTCAAAAATACCAGCGGTCACTTTGACCCTGGAAGCATCACAATTGTTCTTCCCATGCCCAGAATTCAAACTTCGAATTGCTCTGTCACAACTCCCCAGCTTTTGCTAACATGAAAAGCAACTGACTAGCCTGCCTACAGTACATGCCCAATGGCTTTTGTTGTAACCAGCTTTAACAAGCTTCTCTATTTGATACCTCTTCTTTTCATCATTCATATCCTTGCATTTTGGAAAAAGAGCCATTTTAGATTGGTGTGATATTATCTAATAGCTATTTTATATCCTCTTTCGTGCAGGAAGTCTTGCCAGGAGTTCTCTTTTACTCAATCCTAGGTTAACTTAACATGAGCATGCACTGGCAGAGTTTGCATGCACTGTACAGGCAGCAGGGTGCAGAAGAAAAAGATCTGGAGAAAGCTGATTGAATTGTGCAAACACAAGAGCCTGTAGGCAATGTGAAGAAGACAGTTACATTCAGACTTCCTGCTTGTGGCTGATAGGATTTGTGCAGATATAATTCGTGTTAGTGGTCAGCTGGAGAGATAACTGGATAAAACTCAACCAAATGGTTGAGTTAACAGCATCAGATTGTATATGCTTTAATTAAGCATTTAAGATGTGCTTAATTAAGTTGTAGATCAAATAAAATATGTGGATCCTTTTCATGTGAGTGAGGATTTCCCTTTTACTCTATTCTAGTCATAGAACTATTAAATATGTTTACACTTCTTTATTTAAAAATTACATGGAAGAGTTTAATATTAGTCTTCATCATGTAGTGAGATATATATATATATATGTATATATATATATATATATATATATATATATATCTTGGAAAATTTGTCCTGATGCTTATTCTTTGAAAACCATTTGCTGGAGGTGGCATGGGTGCCTTCTCTCTATCATTTAAATTTATTTTATTTCTAATGTTGTCAGCATGTAGAATTTGATTCCAAATCTCTGATATAGTTATTTTAAAAATCTTGTATGGTTTCATGAGTTCCAGAGTACACTCATATAGCTGAAATAGGAGACAATGGAACATCTTCTGTTTTATTTATTATATTTTGTAATAGATGAAATTACAATATAATGGTGAAGGATGAACATTCTGGAATTAAAAGCCAAAAAAACCTCAAGAATACCTACACCAGAAAACTCCTCAAGTACTTCTCAGTCCCAAAAGAATTTTCCAGACAGTGTATCTTTAAATACTTTTAAAAATGGCGTTTGGTATATTTTAAGGCTATTAGGAGTATTTTCAGTGTCTTTCTGAGCCTTTCTGGTTTGACTAATTGTCTAATACTGAATTTATGGAATTCAGTAAAGCTTCATCTTCTACTTAAATTAGCTGCCTAATTTTAGAGAAGGGTAACATGAAATATGAATGAGAGAATTTAATTTTTCCTGGAGTTATTTCTGTTTGCCTTTACTGTATCTATCTCCTTCCCAAGGATACTAGGAAATGTCTGTTATATTCAGAATATTGCCAAACTCAAAGTAGAAAAAAACACTCCAATGGTAATTCCTAATGGAAATTTATCACAGTATAATGGTGAACTACTGTAAAAGTGCACAGGCCTCTTAAAGCTTGCCAGGAACATCCATCATCATGGGCATCTCTTCTCGTAAAAGTGGGAGCTCAGATACATTTAGTAATCTGAGCTTCACTCTGAGGAAAATAGCTGAAAGGAGCTATACTGTGGTCTGTTGGTCAGAGTTAGTCCTTGTTGTGAAGTAAATAATCATCAAATTACTGCTATGTTGACTGGAACTTTACCAACAATTTTCAGAATTTGTTTTATGCTATACATTGTCTGAAGTCCTTTCTAAGGAGAATTTAGTGCATAATGGCTTTCTGCCCCCAACAGGATTTGCCAGTACTGAGGAAAAAAAATCATCAATTTGATAAATGAGTCAAACTTTCAAACATTTAGGATCAATAAATCAAACTAAAGCTGTTAAATGTTTTTTAAATCATGCTAAGTATTTGTGTATATTATCTCATCCCTTTTTTTATACTGAAGTTGAGAGCTTTAGGGTATGATGTTCATGAAATAAAAAAGGAGCATTGTAAATAACTCTTCTTATTTTTCCAGTTTGCAGTACAAACACAAACAAACAAAAAATAAGTAAGAGGGAATGGGAGTAGCTTTTCTTTGTTGCTTGTGACGCAAGTATGTTCTCAGTTCTTCAGCAAAGCTGAAGGAATGACAAAAATCATCTGAGCCTAGTTACAGGTAAAAGAGAAATGCAGTATTTCATACCATTCTACAACCTGAACATGTCCTAGCTTACTAATTTCTGTACAGGGAAGCCTAAGAAAACATTTATCTGAAGTTTAAATATACATAGTTCTAAATAGAGAAGTTATTGTTAAATGATTTAAATTTTTCTAACAACAGCAAAGGAAATACTCTGGCTTGCTTATAAAGGCTAGCTGATTGACTTCCAATAAAATGAATGTAGATAAGAAATGGAAAATTAGCTGGGTTTTTTACATGACTGTTGCTTAGGTTTTGAAAACTTCATTTTATTGACTTGATTTTATCAGTGTAATTCTAGTTAAATCTTTCAATACCGACTCCTGGTTTGCACAAAAGTCCTACTAAATGTAGGACCAAATACAAATTGAAACGGAAATCAGTGTTCTACCACATAAAAATTTCTTCATGTGATGCTACCAAAATCAGTGGAATAGCATAAATACTCCAGAAAAATGCTCAAAAAAGCAGAATTGTCTGAAACACTTAGTTTATAAAATAACATTTTATTTATCTGCCATGCTGAGAATATAAAATTTGTGAACATTACAGTAGTTTCAGTCCAGAGTAACTAGAGCTGCAGCAATGTGATTCAAAAGTGACAGTGAGAGGCAAGGGGTTTTGTCTGACACTCGGAGCACAGTTGGGAAAATACATGGATTTTTCTGCCTGGGTGTGGAAAGCTGCTAGCAGAGGTAGTGCACAGCTACTGCTTGCAGGTACAGTCACGTGCAGTCTGTGGTAATTTCAGTGTTACTGTAGGGACAGACTGGAAATAAAGAAGACCACAGAGTTACAGAAAGACTATTTTCTTTTCTTTAGTTGTTTCAAAAAGAAATTGGGCGGAGCAGAAGAGAGCATCTAGGAGATCTTTACTGTTTCTACTCTAGTCCATGTAAGAATAAAAGTTGCTTCTACAGCTTCTGCTTTTGTTACTTTAAAAGATTCTGGCCTCCACTGGAAGTACAGGTTTTGCAAGACTTATTATTTTATCTTCTCATCTTGTATTTGTCTCGTAAGACTCAGGATGGAAAAGTTATGCAGTCTATATTTCAACATCACTTACAATA